GTGCTGAGATTACAGACCTGTGTCACCACTCCCAGTGAAAATATCCTACTTTAATTCAATGTTTTCCCTAAACTGGCTTCCCTTTCTGTTTCCCACCATTAAAAAGTGTCATCACTGCTCAGATTAATATACATATTTGAAAATCAAATACTATTATTATTGCCTCAGCCTTCTCCTGAGCATCCCCATCTGATCTCTCACCAGTCCAGATGATTCTGCCTGTGACTCGGTTTCCAGACACAGAGGGTTGCTGGTGTTTTACCAGTCCTGCTTTGGTCTAACCTTTAATTCTGAATTCTATTCGTTAAACATTGCTTTGTTTCCTCACATAAAAGTTTTCATATACTTACAAATTAATAAGCTTAAAGTTTAATGTAATATTCATATTTTATTGCTCTGGTAATTAAATGGTTCCAATTAGTAAAAATTTAGTACAGAAATTGTGATTTCCTAGAAAAATGATTTTTTTTTGCATTCTAAAGTCACTGCTATCAAAACTATATTCCACTAAGAAATGTCTTATCCATGGAACAACAACACTTTGAATATGAGCCCTAGCATTTATGTGATTTTTTTTTTTTTCGTCTTTTTTGTTGTTGTTGTTTTTCTCCAGTACCGGGAACCATTTATGTGATTTTAAATAAATACCTTGTGTTTTGTAATACTTTTGAAGTTTTAGGAACTTAGTTATATATTCTTTTTAAGACCAGAGAACAATAGAAAAATTATACAACTTGTGTAAATATAATGTTCACAACGTAAGCGTATTATTCTTGTGCAAACTATTTTTATGTCTAGTATCTTCTTTTGGATTTTGCGACACATAAAGATCATTTTAAAGTAATAGAGATTTACTTAAATGTGACATTAGAAGTTGAATGCTCAAAAATACCTATTTTTATAGTATATTTATTTGGTCTGGGAAAAATTGAACATAGAACTGTTTAATAGGAACTTTAAGAATCTATCAGAATTACCCAGACTCATCTCAATTTTATGGTCTGGTACTACAGTCAAAACCACTTATGATTTAACTAAGGTAACAAAATACATAGAAGCATTTTCAAAATAAACATGCATTATCTGGGTAACCAAATACTTCTGTGTTATCTAAAAATTCTATAGGAAAGTACCTATTGCTAAAATCAATATTCTTGTACATTCACCCAGCATCTTGAGTCTCATTGCAAAAATAAGTAAATACAGACATTTATTTGAACATTGCCTCTGAGATTAAATGCTTCAATTCAGTGTATGGTCATCTTCATTGAAAAATCACATTTTCCTACAGATTTAAATGAAAAACATGACATTTATGCAAATCTAACTTACTTTTACAGATTTATTTAATTTTAGCAGATAGCAAAATACTACTTTTCATGAAATGTCATTTTTAATTTTATAAAATTGTTTTCAATACAAAATGTGCACACTTCATTAAAAATATTCCTGAAAACAAAAGCTAGGGAGAGGGGGCATCTCCTCTGACCTTAGAGTGGAAGGCACTGGCTGCACTCTCCACTTTTGGGGTCCCATTAAACAGACTTCTTACCCTGTGGCTGAAAGTAGGCTGTGTGTAAAATATGGTACCCGATGCTCGCCCTGAGGATTTAGTATAAATACCTTGGTAAAAATCAAAGTATTTTAAAAATAATGCCCCAAATTCTGGAGAAAAATTACAAATAGTAAATGCCTATGGAACACCTTTAGAATAATTTGTTTTCTTCATAAAGAAAAAAGAGCTACTTTATACAGAAACTTAGAACCACTATAATAACATTGCAGTGGTATTATAGCACTTGATGATGTGCTACTTTTTAATTTTACCTTTTTCTGTTTGCAAATGATCCTTTACTTCCATTTTACACTTTAGAAAAAGTAATAAACTGGAACTCAAGCAATCTGTCTAACCTTATATCTATTAGAAAACAATTAGTGAATTATAAAATTGGTTAACTTCTCTGAATTTTTCTACTCAGTGCTTTGTAAGTATTCTGAGTTTTTTAAGAATTTATGCAGGAGAATGCATTCCAGTTGCAAACTCTTTAATACATCTGTTACATCTATCCTCTGTCTGAGATTCCATGTTCATAAGGTGGAAGGAAAGTCATTTTTAAGCACTCTGACTATCACAGCATGCTATGCACAAAGGTACTTAGTATATGACTTCCAATAGATTTCTTTTCCCACTATTGTTATACATTTTTTATTAGTAGTACCTTAGTATTTTCAACTTGAATGGCTTTCCAAGACTAGAATTGACAAGATCCAAGTGTGTTAGTCATAAGGTATCAGTACAGATGGAGAGAAATAAATGGATACATGTTTAAAGTTTACATTTCAATGTAAATATCTCCTCACTCATGCAGACGCAATTCAGACAAGTCAGTTTCCTCATCTCTGAGGGAACAGTACATACTTTTAGCCCTTGTTTGAATAAGGGTGCAGTGTGAAATTGAATAGAAGCATACTACTTGATAAGACCACAAAATATTAAAATATTCCCCATAATCACAGCAATACTTAGAAAAACATGTACTCTGAGTGGGGACAGAAACACATTAATATTATTAGCTTGCTTGGTAATTATCCATAATAAAAACAACGTGAAACACCAATCCATGACTGGCAATTGCCATGTATTTTTTACCTACTGTATCTTTATATCTTTAAATATTGACAATGTGGAAATTTTATATTATATATAACTTGACCCAATGGAAGAATCATTACAATACGCATGGAATTCATTGCATTTAATGTGAATAATCTCTATAAAATTGTTATTATCACTTTCTAGTCATTAATGTACTCACACAGAATTTCTTCTACTCAAATTAGATGGTGCCCAGTACAACTCAACCTTTTATATGAAAATGCTGTTTTACTCTCTTTTTATGTTTTGTATGGATGATTTTGATTTTTGAATTGTGAAGTGTCATTTTTCTTAGACCAGTACCTCCTTAGCAACATCAGCACTACCCTGAAATATGGTATCATTCTTCCCCACAAGCGATGCAAGCAGCAGTATTCTAGGCAAGATTCTTACCAACTGGTGTGCTAGGGTTCGTTTCTCAGAGTCTTCGCTGGCTGTCATGAAGAGAACATTTTCCACACTGGTGCTTTTTTCTTGCCACTTGTGAAACACCAACAATATATTCTGAATAAAAGTCCTGCACAAATATCTTCAGTGAAGCTCTTCTTGGTGCTTGATAAACTTTATGTCTTGAAATGATTTCCACTTATCATTACAGATTTCGATTCTTTTTTTTAACTTAGTCATATAAATATATTCTCCCAGTGTGAGGTGGGGATTGGGCAATTTGATAGAACGTTTAATAAGTTAATAAAATTATAAAACAATGTATTTTAAAGAATTGGAACCTGGAATGTATTGGCACTTGTTTGTGGTGGTTTTCTAAACACCCTGGAGTGTCAGGTGTCTGACCTTTGCCTCTTTATTCTTTCCGTCCTGCCAGTTGCGCACTCCAGAGTTCAAATGCAGACACCCTAAAGATAAATTCAATTGCTACCAGAAGTAAGGATCATATCCTCAATGCACTCAGAACACCATACAGGCTTTTGTATAATGTGTGTCTCTTGCATTGTATAATGTTGCTGTACAGTGTGGAATACACTACAGTATTTATATGTTCATGTATAGTTCACCCTGATACTGTCATTTTCTCCCTGCCCCCACCTCCGTACGTACACAGAAGAACTCAGCTAATAAAGCAAAGCTTAGTAGAAACATGTAGAGCTCATGATTAACTCAAGGTAAGTTTAATAACAAAATCAACAATTCATTTTTTAAATTCTGTTTTAGTTTATTCAAATATACATAGAATTGTAATACTGCTTACTTTTTTGTTAGTTTTAAAAGTACGCTGGCCTTATAAAATTATTTTAAGGGCTCAACAATTAACTGAGTTACCTGTACTCCATGCTACCTTTTAAGTTAAAGTAGAAATGTAATTTAATTAAATTCTAATGACATATTTATACCTTGTCTTAGAAATTTACAATATTCAACTGCTTCTATTATTTTGGTTCCATTAAATATTGCATAAAGTTTAATGTTTTGCAGAAATTAACTTCATTCATATGATTTTAAGAAGAAGAAAAAATTTAAGTAACTTCCTCAGTGTAAGTCCAGTGATGGTTGGTAAGACACTAGGGATAATTCTGAAGATACCATTTTATGTGATGTACCTTATGTGCATCTTTATGGACAGAAAGTTGTACTGTTTTGGACCAGCTGGTGTACTGTCCTATGTGCTAAACTGAATGTGGTCTGTCGAAGTTTGCTGTTTTGATCATTTCCAAACACCACCTACTTAATTTTTTAAAAAAAATGTCTTTTGTACACAATTCTTGCTTTTTTATTTTATGTTTCTTGCTTCTTAATCTTTGGATTATTTTTAAAGAATAATCTGATAGAAAATATATGGGGACCAAGTCATCTTCATAACTGTTTTATAAAGTACAATTATTGATTTTAAGACATTTAAGTAATTCATCCATATGTAAATCACTCCCAGGTACCTTAATGTAAATAGAATTTTTCATTTTAATGAAAGCACAAACCTAAAAAGGAATAGCTCTTCAAATATACACAATCCTCATTTGTCAATATAATCTGCTTTCCTAATGAAACTAAAGTTCGTCACTGCACAACACATCAAATCGTTTCTCTTATACGTTACCAGCATACTGTTGGCTGTGTCCCCTTCCACATACCCTCAAAATCAACACTGTACAGCCAGCGTCTCAAACTAGACCCACAGGGAACAGAGGTTCATCAATCTTTCCAACTGCCCATTTCACAACTGATAAATCCTTCAGCTTTCCCATATATGTTGATGAAACTGAAAACTGAAATCCCTTCAGTTATATCACTTAAGAAACACTGTTTACTCAGACGTTAAACTAGCAAACCATCTTGTGTAAAGAAACAAAAAAAGAACACGAAGAATTTAGAGACTGAATGTTGTACTCACGGAATGCTCTATAAAACTCTTCCAGGGCCAGGTGCTTGTCTGCGTTGAGATCATCAAACTTCACCAGATCATACAAAGTGCATTCAGAATGATCCTTGGAAAGATCCTCCTGTTTTATCACCTGACAAGCAAATTATAGCCACACTTTTATATCTGAATCTTCACATTCCTTTAATATAATCAATCACAGGCAATCTTCACATAATAGATCAATTTAAATCTGCAGTGGGACAATGAAATAAGCCTAAGGAAAGTCCAGGTTTCCAATTATTTTTAACTATTTCAAAAGCAAAATTATAATGTTAAGACATGTACTGAGAATTTGTACAAAGTTTCTAATATAGCCTCACAGTAGGACCCAAGAAGTCTGAATATTTTGTATTTTAGACATCTACTTTGTTTTATCTAGGCTAATTTTAGGAAATAAGTCCGTATGTAAATTTTGTCCTGTGTCTCAGTGTCCTATGTCAAAATAATTCTCTTTCTCCCAAAAATAGTGAGGCAGTTTGTGACCTTTTTCTTCTCATACTATTTGTGGAAAACGGAGTCAGAGTTTATCCCTCCTCTGCCTAACCTCCTCGCCAGCTGGAAACAGTCTTCTGGGGTTGTGCGCAGCTCCTCAGCCACGGAAGGCGACGACTGTCTCCACAGCGGGAAGGGACTGACGCCCTCACAGAGGGCGGAACCCTGTCCACGTGTGGGTGAAGAAAATCACCAAAGTGCCTGGGACTTGGTGCTGAGTCCCCGGGACTGAAATGCAGCTTTCTCACACTCTCCTGATTGTGAGTATTTTCTGTATTCGGGTCCTTCCAACGTGATTTCAGAGCTCTATAATTTCTGCCAAATCATTTTACCTTCCCTCAGCCAGAAAATGAACGGGAAAATTATCCCACACATAGTCAAGTGCAAGACAGAAGCGACAGTATGAACCCTAAAGTGATCACTACAATTAAGAGTAATGATCCTTTGGATGGCATGCATCCTCCAGTAATTCTCTGCAGGCTCCCAGCTGCCAGTGTGTGTGCTACGGTGTGACTCTCGGGGGCTGTCGTTTCTTTGAGTAAGACAGATAATTTCAGACATTCGTCGGGCAACAGTGACACATCACTGGTGCCATTTTCTAACTATCCTCGGACGCTTTTGTGCTATACCTTTAAACCTACTCCGCACACTCTTAGGATGACATTTTCGTTGCCTGAATTAAACTAAATGAGGATGGGATGTCGCGCTATGTCCCAGGGCCGTGTGGCACATGGTCAGTGCGGCCTCCAGCACACTCTAATCAGGTCGCCAGCGGTTCACAGATCGCACTTCAGAGACTGCCACTGGCACGTCTAGAGTCTTGCGAATTCTCTGTTGCTGTGTATGCTCTAAAACTGTGCTGTCCGGGCTGATATTTGCCACCACAGCGGGGAGGGGTGCAAAATGCTTTGCCTGGGCTTTAATCGGTGTTGTGGACAGTGAGTACTCGCTGCTCACCGGAGCACAACAGCGCTGCAAGTGGAGATGCCACCGAGAGCGGAGGGGAAATCCGTCATTGGTTTTTGCTGTTGTTTTGTTTTGGTCTCACATTTTACTCAAATTAAATTTACATATCAGACCAAAGTGATAGATTTCTACAATTTTTCCTGACTGCATTTGGCCCAAAGTGACTTCAGAAGGGTCCTGAAATATGGAAAGGGTCCTAAAATATATCACATGTTTGTGGATTTAAAAAAACAACAGTGATAAAATTTCTATAATACTGAAAGTGATCTGCATATTGAAAGCAATTCCTATCAAAACATCAACGACATTCTTCACAGAACTAGAAAAAATCCTGCAATTCATACAGAATCCCCACCCCCACCCCCACCTGCACACCCGCAAGCAGGAGTGTATGTACACAGGGAACCAAGGAAAAAAGGATGAACAGCCAAGGCAACATGAACAGAGGAACAAAACAGAAAGCACTCCACCACCTGACTTCAGAGTAAACTACAAAGGTGTTTCAATTGCAAAGGCATGGCAATGCAATAGAAGCAGCTACATAGACAAACAGAACGGAGTTGAGAGGCTTGAAGTAAACTCACACAACTTCAGACAAGTAATCTCTGACAGTTGTTAAAAATGTGCAGAGAAGAGAAGACACTGTCTTCAGTGAGTGGTGCTGTAAAGATTAGTTGTCTATACCAAAGAATGAAACTAAACCTCTACTCTCATGAAATATAAAAATCAACTATAATGATTAAAAACTGAAACTATCCAAAGGAGATACAGAGGGAAAATTTAAGGATACTAGAATGATCAAAGATTGTGTTTTCGTTAAGTTGCCAAAGTACATTAACAAAACAAAAGTAAACAGGATCATAACAAACTAAAATGCTTCCACACAACAAAGAATTAATCAATACAGTGAAGTTAAAACTCACACAATGGGGAAAATAGTTTCAAACTATATATCTGATAAAGCATTAAAATACAGATTATGTAAAAACACAAATGATTCAGGAACAAAACAAATTAAAAACCCAATTAGAAAGTGAGCAGCTCATCGAAGATGACACCTTTCATGAGAAGATATCCTAAATACTACGCCAACAGGTATATGAAGAGCTCAATATCATTAATAGTCCAAGAGCTACAACACAGAAATGAGGTATCATCTCATTGCAGCTAGAATAATAATTACCAAAATGTAAAAAAAAAATTTAAAAAAAAGAGCGCTGGTGCAGATGTGGAGAAAAGGAAACTTCACACTGTGGGCTAGAATTTTGATCAGCACACCATTATGGAAAGCCGTGTGGAGCAGCTTCATAAAATTAGAAAGAGGTGTGTATAATGCAGCAACCCTTCTCTTGTGTATAGATTTCCAAAGGAAATTAAATCAGTCTGTGAGAGAAATATCTTCTCTTCCATGTTGATTGCAGCATCGTTCACAACAGTGAAGAAATAGAAACAATCGAGGTGTTCATTAACTGGTGAACGAGGAAAATGTGGTGGTGTATGGACACCACAGGATATTACTTTTCTATGAAAAAGGTTAAAAGCCTGTCATTTGCTACAACAGGGGTGAAACTGGAATACATTTCTTTAAGTGACACAACCAAGGAATGGAAGGACAGGCCTGCATGGTCTCACTCATGTGGAAGGCACATAGGTTTATGTCATAGTGCATTAGAGTGGAATGGCAGTAACCAGAGGGTGGGAAGTGTAGTGCATAGTGTGGGACCAGGGAAGTTTGGTGAGTGAATATGAAGTTACTCAAAAGGAGGAAACATAGGACTGAAGAGTAAAAATGTTGAAGAATTTACAGTTGCGTAAGCAAAGAATAAATGTGCTATTGCATGCTATGTGATTACTGACAATACTTCAAAAAAGAAAAAAGAATGTGGAATGTTTTCCTCAGAAGGAAATGTAAAGGTTCAGGATGATATGTTTATCCTCATGCAACATTACACAATGTATTCATATATGAAAACACCACATGGTACCCCATAAATACATATGATTTTTATGTGTCCACTAAAAATAATTTTTACAAAAGTGCACCCATGTAGAATTTATATTTTAGTAAGGCCTGGGCAAATAACCTATAGCGATATCTCTAGACAGATATGCACATAGAGGTTGTCAGAAATGCGTGTACCTCAGATAATAAGTTGTGTAAAGGTAAACTGAGCAAAGAAATGCAATGTGCAAGAACTGGGTACAGAACTAGTGTCTCCCTGCTACAGAGCTATCTGGGCATTACATTTCTCGAAGATAGCATGGTTTGGAAACTCAAGTTTATTAAACTAATTCTGAAAAGAGATGAAGGAAAGCAAGTGACTGTGCTATGAGGAGGAGGAGGAGAGCAGTGGAGGGTCCCTGGATCTTTGCTGTGTCCTCTCGGTGGGGACAGGAGTCACCTACCACCATCAGCTCTGTGTGGGGCAGCACCCCCGTGCAGTCCTTTGAACCCCTTCCCTTACCCGTTGCTCTTACTGTGCTAGGCACGATCATCTTGCGTTCACTGTTACCTGGCAGAGTCAGGGCTCTTGCTCCCTATTTTGAGAATAAGTGGACCAGAATCATTTGTGAAGCTGAAAGATGGTAGATAAGTTTATTTCTTTACAGAAAAATCATGTAGATTTTATAAAAGCCTAAGGACACTTTTGTCATAGAAATACACACTGTGGATGTTAGATTTATGCTTCTCCATGTAATAGGAGTAATTTTTCTAATAAATCTGGTATCATATTTCCCTCCTTCCTTCCTCCCTCCCTCCTTCCTTCCTTTTCCTACTTGCCTTTCTCTTTCTTTTCCTTCTTTGAAATTATGTGCCAAGAGCCATGTTAATGGTATATCAGTGAGGTATATCAGGAGGTATATAACTGAATAAAGATGGCACAATCCCTGCCCTACTGGACATTTTAGTCTAGAGAAGGTGAGCAAAAACATGCAATAATTAAATAAGACAATAATACATTGCCAACAGAGCTCTAAAAACAATGTGAATGGATAGGGTCAATAATTACTGTTATACATTTTAATAACTTAATCATAAAAAATGATGCCATACTGTAAGAGCAGTATTAAAAGGAAAGGATTCGATGAGAATAATTAAATCTTCCAGTTTTCTTTTAGACTTTCTAATGTACCCAATGTAACATTTCAAAAAGCAACCCACATAGCCAATATTAGTCTTTTGAAAGACCACTTGAAGAAATATTTATTAAATTACTGGTAGAAGGAAAAGTATTTTGCTTTTAAGCATCCCACATAGTCCGTAAGGATTCTCAAATCTGAGGGCAAGACTTTTAAGTGCATTTTAAAATTCTAAAGAAAGATCCTACAAATAACATTTTTAAAATAAATAATCCCTCAATTGTAATATTCCAGGTGTCCTGTACATATTAGAAAAAAAACTTAAAATGAACTGACAGTTGTTAATACTAATTCTTCTCTGTTAAATACTAATTCTTACTGTTACGATTCTGAAACTTTCAGCACTAGCAGCATAACTTCCACACCTGCCTGCATCCCACCTATTGGCACTGACTGTGTCATTTTAAACCAACACCTGGTTTTCTGCTTCCTTATCTTGTACGACTGACAGCATTATGGGTGTAAAATGAAACAAAGAAAACAATGAAAAAT